TCAGGGGCCGCGCGGACCCGTGCCGGGGCCGAACGAGGGAGTCGACAGGAGAATTAGAGTCCTCGACGCTGCCCGCGCGCCCGAGCCCCATGCAGCTCCAGCCGCACTCACCTCTCCTCGGCGTCAGGAGAGTCCAACTCCTCCTCCGCCGCCATGGCCACCGTCGCGCGCTGCGTTGAGACCGCTCCTCAGGCCGGCTGACAGGCCGACTAGAACGCCGCGAACCAATGCCGCCCTTAAGGCCGCCGCCGTCTGCGCATGCGTCCCCTCCCACTCGCACGACTGTGCGGCGCATGCGCTTGCCGGGCCATTCCCCACCCACACACCAACCACGCATGAGTCATCCCGCCGGACGCGTTCGAATCTGGGCACTAGGCGGGCCCGCCAAGCTGAAAGAACTGGTGAGACTCGCCTGGCAGAGTTAGGTAGTAACTAATTTCAGTAATGACTGTATTGACGCATTATCCGCTGATGTTGATTGCCAGGTGCTGGGCACTGGACAGTTCCCTGAGGACAGTTCACTGGGCACTAGCAGTTCCCTGAGGACTGAGGCGCGACCTTCAGGAAGAGCCCAGGTAGTATGCGATAGACGCTGCAGTAGTTAACGGAGAGGCTGTAATGGGGGAGCTTTGCGGCCTGCGGCCAGCCCTTCACCGCAGGTGGGTGGCCAAGGGAAGAGAGCGCCTCACAGGACCCTTCAGGCAATCCATATTCACTGACATGAGGGCACTGCTCCAGACCCTGGGGTTACAGTTGAGAGCAGAACCAGCAACTCCCATCCACTCCGTGCTCTATACACACGGGAGGGCTGTGAGGAGTCTCCATTTAGGTACTTAGAGTTGGTGGGGCGGGTGGGGGGGGGTCACTAATGTAAATGTTAACATTTCTCGGTGGACTAAAAGAATTGTCAAGTCTGTTAGCCATCAGATACTGCCTGCTTTTGTAATTGTATCACTCCCTACCATTCATTCATTCATATTTACCTTTTGCCTATATGCCCAGTTAATTCTAGGCGCTGAGAAACAATGGATTGAAATAGGGCTCGCACCTTTATGGAACCTACGCTATTACATTTTATTTTAGAGGCAATTCATCGCTCTCCTTCCCTAACTCTCCTCCCTTTCTGCAGTCTCTTTTTCTCTCCTTTCGGTCCCTATAACCCAGACTGTCTCTGTCACCCACCTGGCACTCAGATTCTTGGCCTTGTCCAATTGTTACGGCTTTTTAATGGACATTATTGAATATTCTTATAACTACACTGGAAGTTCCTTGAGGATAGAGATGGTGTCTTCTGTGATTTAGGGGAAAGAAAAAAAAGCAACTCATAATCTCGTGGGCATAGCAATAACTAATACATATTTTATGGCAGTTGATCTACTTCAGAAATATTTTAGGGAAGACTGGGACATAAAAGAACACTGTTCCAGGAATTCATGGTGTTGCCAGAGACTTCCAGTGTATCTATAGAAACTGATCCTCTACCATCTCCATCTATCAGACCATATCCATACTGGAGGCACCTTTTTCTATATGGGCCAGACTATTGAGGACTCTACTGCATGGAATACAGTCCAAGCCCAGTGGTACTGAGTATAGTATCAAAACCTAAGAATATGGATGGCCAATAGGCACATGAAAAGATGCTCAATATTGCTAATTTTCAGAGAAATGCAAATCAAATCTACAATGAGGTGTTACCTCATACCGCTGGGCAGAATGGCCATCATCAAAAAGTCCACAAACAATAAATTCTGGAGAGGGTGTGAAAAAAATGGAACCCTCCTACACTGCTGGTGGGAATGTAATTTGGTGCAGCCACTGGAGAACAGTACAGAGTTTCCTTAAAAACTAAAGCTAGACTTAACACAAGATCCAGCAATCCCACTCTTGGGCATATATCTAGTGAAAACTCTTAATTCGAAAAGATACATGCACCTCAGTGTTCATAGCAGCACTGTTTATAACAGCCAAGACATGGAAGTAACTTAAATGTCCACTGACAGATGGCTGCATAAAGAAGTTGTATACACACACACACACACATACACACATAATGGAATACTACTCAGCATAAAAAATGAATGAAATAATGCCATTTGCAGGAACATGGATGGACCTAGAGATTATCATACTAAATGAAGTAGGTCAGACAAAGGCAAATATCATATGATATCACTTATATGTGGAATCTAAAAAAAATGATACAAATGAACTTTTTTATAAAATAGAAAGAGACTCACAGACATAGAAAACAAATTATGGTTACCAAAGGGGAAAGGTGGGTCAGCGAGGGATAAATTGGGAGTTTGGGATTAGGAGAAACAAAGTACTATATACAAAATAGATAAACAATAAGGTCCTACTATATAGCACAGGCAACTACATTGAGTATCTTATAATAACCTATAATGAAAAAGAATATTAAAAATGTATCACTGAATCACTGTGCTGTACATCAGAACCTAACACAACATTGTAAATCTACTAAACTTCAATAAAAATAAAAAAAATTTTTAAAAATTAAGAATAGGGTGGCAACTCCTGCAGCACCTTCAGAAAGTTGGGCTGGCAAGAGTGCACCTTCAGAAATCTTTGTGGACCTGAGCCTGCTCTCATAGATGCCAGTGGCTGCTGCACAGTAAAAACAAACCAGCAAAAAAACATTGATCCAATGCTGGAGTTTATACAGAAACTGACAGAGCAATGCATAGGGCTATAGGACTTCATGATCTTCCCCCAACTCTAGGGGTATCTCTGATCCACACTTCCCTGTGCTGCTGGTGGAGGAGCTGTCCTTGACTGTGGCAAGAAGTCCATGCTGGAATCAGCCATCCACACAGCCCCTGGGTGCTGCCAGCAGTGAAGAAACCCTGCTGCTTCATTGTGACTGCCACACCATCCTGCTCTTGGACTATGTCTCCTTGGAGGACATTAAGGCCAACATCTGTTGATGCAACCTGTACCTGGACAGCTCCTCCTATGCCAGCCTCAATCACTGCCTCCCTGTCCTTTGGTGGTGCCTGAGCAGCAGACCTCCCAGAGTTCCAGGCCAACCTGGTGCCCTATTTCCAAATCTATTTCTTTTTGGTAATGTACTAACCAAATATCTTGGTTGAGTAGTACTTATTTTGGGAGGTCACTAGCACCTATTTAGAACTCTCCAATCAGATAGTCAGGTGTGACACTCAGCAGGGCAAGTACATAGCTGCTCTGCATGCTCCACCCCCAGGCTGTGGAGTCCAAAGAACTAATGCTGCCATTATACCACTGAGACCAAGTGTATTATACAAGTTGATGACTGGTGCCCCACTGGTTTCAAGGTTGACTTTAATTTCTAGCCCCTTATCAGTGATTCCTAAGAAAATGCTGAACAATATACCACAGTCATCGTAGGGGTCTGGGCCTTTATCACAAGTCTGCCAAGCTAGCACTTGCAAACCAGAATGAGAGTGAGGGCATGGAGGGTTTTCTGAGGACCACGATGGCCTGACTGCCCTATAAATGTTTAAAAAGTGTTGTAATTAAAAGAGTAAGAAAGCAATTGTGGCAGGGAAGTAGTAATAATGACATGGGATGGTAAGAGAAAATGGTAGCTGGATGAAGGGAAGGGGCTGGATACCAATCAGATGTGTGACTTTAGGGGAAATAAAAAATCACATGCTTAGGGCTTGTCAGATTGTAATCTGCTGCAGACCTCCTGTGGATCTTGTTAAGTGGCCAATTCTAACTCTGTAGTTCTGGAGTGGGGCCTGAGATTCTCTATTTCTAACCAGCTCCCAGTGATGCCTGTACCTCTACTGCCAGTCAGCAGACTGCTCTTCAAATTACAAAGCTCTGGAGCAGCCCATCCACTGGAACTTCCTGCAGTCATGAAACTGTTCTCAACCCCCACTTTGCAATATGCTAGCCTGAGCCACATGTACGTATGGAACATTTGCCTAGTGTGACTGAATTTTTAATTTTAATTAAGTTTTAAAAGCCACATGTGGCTAATGCTACCATGTTGGACAGCAAGGTCTGGGTCTTATATTCCTCATCTGTGAAAATGATAGCTTGAGACTAGACGGTTCCCAATGTCCCTTCAGACGATCTATGCTTCCACGTTGTCCTTTTCAAAGGGTGAGTGGAGGGCCAAGAGAGGAATTTGATGAGGGCACAGATGTTAAAGCCTGTAGTAAATCATGAAGTGTTGAGAGCCCTTCCATTGTGGTTAGGGGAAGAAGAGCATGGTCTCCCAGGGGCTGGATTTTAGAACTCAGTGGTAGAGCTGCCCTCTGGAGACAGGAGACTCTGACTAGTCAATGAGTGTCAGTTGAACTCTCAGAACCAGAGAAAAGGCCTTCAGCAAGGTGCAAATGCTGGGCTGTAAAGGAAGAGAGTGATTAATTGAACCACATCCAAATTTAAGACATCTGTGTGAAAAAGACACTAAAACACAATGCAAAAATATGGAACAGACAGGAAAAATCTATTTAAAAATGAAAAAGAAATTGGAGGGGAGAGGTAATCAGGTTTGTTTGTTTATTTGTTTATTTATTTATCTGTCTATTTATTTATTGTTGATGGAGGGACTGGGAATTGAACCCAAGACCTCGTGCATGCTAGGCACACGCTCTACCAGTGAGCTCTACCCTTCCCTGTAAAAATTTGTTTTGGAAATGTTAAGAAACCAAGGTTTAATCTCTTCAGCATGTAAAGAAAAACTGAAAAAGGATAAATAGAAAATAGAGTAAAAAACAAACCCTCAGAGGAGAAAACCGTCAAGCCATAAACAGTCACAAGATGCCCCACTCATCTGTAATCAGGAAATGCAAGTTGAAACCATGATAATGTAAATGGGAAAGGCTCATAGTTCTAAATTTTGGCAAGAACCTGGGTCAATGGAGAATGTCTCTACTCAGTTGGTGAGAGTGCCAAACTGATAACAGCCATCATCTGGAAAATAGTTTGAGAGTTACCTGTTTAAAAATGTAAAATTAATATAACCCCTGGCCCAGCAATTTAACTTCTGGGGGACCTGGCCTTTCTCATGTGCATATAGAGATATATAAAAGGATATTCCCTTCAGCACTCTAGTAGCCAAAAAAAAAAAAATTGATAAGAATGCCCATGATTAAATAAATTCTAGTACCCCTAATATGAAAATACTGTGGCAGCAATTAAGAAAATGAAATAAATCTATATATACTAATATGGAAAGCTCTCCAGAGCATATGTAGAAAAAGCAAAATCCATGAAATTACCAAAAGTTGGTTCTTTGA